GAGTGGTAGGGGGCGGCCCGAGTGGGTGGGAGAGGGTCCGGCCCACGCTGCGCCTGGGCTGGGACTGGTCCCGCTGGCGCAGGGTAGCAGGAAGCTCTCCACACACTCACCGGACCTGGCGCCTTCTAGAAATTTTGAGCATATCATCCTGTAGCATTCAAATTACTATCCTCACATATGACACAGATACACCTGCACAGGGACAGATATTGTGTTCATTGAACTGTATAAAATTATTTGATCAAACTCAGTTCAATGTCTTGTTTTAACTTTAGCAGTGATGGCAATGAAGAAGATCCTCATGCAAATTAATCAATCACTAATCTATTGGCTCACCATGTTTTTCTGACTGAACCTGTTAGATTGGATGAAGGGTATTTCCTTAATATTGTTTTAGGGTAAACAAAATTATAACCCTGTCATAGTTCACGCATGTCTACAGATGTATTATGTGAAGGGTATGGTTATTAAATTGTAATTACAACATGTAAACATCAAACCATACTGAACATATATTTATTTTAATATATACTTTTAAATTAAAATTTAAATTAAAAAACTATAAAACGGAAAAGCAACTTACAACAGTACTGACTCGAAGGCCCGGGATGTCGGCAAGCACGCACAGATCATGCCACAGGCAGGGCCGCCTCCTGCACGCCGCCTGCCCGCCTTCCGCCATGTCCCTCCCACCAGGTCCTTCCCATGGACCTGGCCTGAGGAGTGCTGTGCAGCCCAGTACTGATGCCGTGTCATCTTCTTTGTATATTATGAGAAAAATACGCTCAAGTCTTCTCTTAGGGGTATTCTTACAGAACTCAAGATGAAGAAAATCCTTCAACAGAATTGCTTAAAATTTCTCTAATTGTAAGGTGATTTATATTTGGATTAGTTTTACAAGGACCTTGAGGTGCACCATTAGACTATTTAGACTGGCTCTCCTTTCTAAGGCAGGCACTCACGCCTGCACTGCGCACCTGTCCTGACTTATTCTTACCTTTAAACTTTTTGCCATTCTGGCATCCTGATCTCCTTCTGGGACACGCAACGAGAGTGATCATGTGCAGCTCTTCTGAACACAGCAATGCAATGAGGCTCATGGCTGGACAGAGACCCATGCTCTCCGTGGGGAGGCTCACGGCCTGGCAGAGGCTCGTGCTCTCTGCAACGAGGCTCACGGCCGGGCGGAGGCCTGTGCTCTCCGTGGTGAGGCTCACGGCTGGGCAGAGGCCTGTGCTCTCCGTGGTGAGGCTCACGGCCGCGCGGAGGCTTGTGCTGCCTGTGCTCTCTGCAATGAGGCTCACGGTCGGGCAGAGGCCCATGCACTCTGCAGTGAGGCTTACAGCCGGGCGGGGGGCCTGTGCTGCCCGTGCTCTCCGTGGTGAGGCTCACGGCTGGGCAGAAGCCCGTGCACTCTGCAGTGAGGTTCACGGCCGGGCAGAGATCCATGCTTTCCGCGGTGAGGCTCATGGCTGGGCAGAGGCCCGTGCTCTCCACGGTGAGGCTCACGGCTGGGCAGAGGCCCGTGCTCTCCGTGGTGAGGCTCACGGCCAGGCAGAGGTCCGCGCTCTCCGCGATGAGGCTCACAGTTGGGCGGAGGCCCGTGCTCTCCGCGATGAGGCTCACAGTTGGGCGGAGGCCCGTGCTCTCCGCGATGAGGCTCACGGCCGGGCAGAGGCCCGTGCTCTCCGCGATGAGGCTCACGGCCG